AAGAAAGAAAGAAAGAAAGAAGAAAGAAAGAAAGAAAGAAAGAAAGAAAGAAAGAAAGAAGAAAGAAAGAAAGAAAGAAAGAAAGAAAGAAAGAAAGAAAGAAAGAAAGAAAGAAAGAAAGAAAGAAAGAAAGAAAGAAAGAAAGAAGAAAGTAAATAGTACGGAATCAGATATTAGGAGCTCTCTGAGGGACAGGCAGGACTATACTATTCAGAATCAAAGACATAAAAAAGTAACATTGAAACTGTTATAGGTAACAAAATAACTATTAGCCTGAGCTTATTTCTCAATTTTTCTCCTCTGGTATATAGCTTGATACGTCTAGGTACACAATATTCTCAGCTATATTTGTGTTTGTTCTTTAGTGTTACTTCTATGCAAGCTTCTCATATCCCTCAAACAAGTTCATATCTTCATTAGATATCCTCAAGATTCTCCTTAGAGGCTCACTTTTTCTCCCAGCAAAATTACTTATTTACCCAGTCATTCCATTTAGGGAATAGCAAAAGTGTTCAGCAAAAATCTTCATGCAATTCTCCCCTCCCACTCCCACATTCACATGTGTTGCTATGGGTCATTCAATTCCCTTAATGAGGAAATAAAATTAGGTCACTCTGAAAAGAATAAAGTGAGGGCTTCATTTAAAAATTACTCCCCTCCAGGATGCGGAGAAAGGGGAAGCCTCCTACACTGTTGGTGGGAATGCAAGCTGGTGCAACCACTCTGGAAAACAGTATGGAGGTTCCTCAAAAAGTTGAAAACAGAGCTATTATATGATCCAGCAATTGCACTACTGGGTATTTACCCCAAAGAGACAAATGTAGGGATCCGAAGGGGTACATGCACCCCGATGTTTATAGCAACAATGTCCACAATAGCCAAACTGTGGAAATAGCCAAGATGTCCATCGACAGATGAATGGATGAAGAAGATGTGTATATATACACAATGGAATATTATGCAGCCATCAAAAGGAATGAGATCTTGCCATTTGCAATGATGTGGATGGAACTGGAGGGTGTTATGCTGAGTGAAATAAGTCAATCAGAGAAAGACATGTATCATATGATCTCACTGATACAAGGAATTCTTAATCTCAGGAAACAAACTGAGGGTTGCTGGAGTGGGGTGGGTGGGAGGGATGGGGTGGCTGGGTGATAGACATTGGGGAGGGTATGTGTTATGGTGAGTGCAGTAAATTGTGCAAGACTGTTGAATCACAGATCTGTACCTCTGAAACAAATAATGCAATATATGTTAAGAAAAAAAAAAAGAAGAAGAAGAAGATAGCAGGAGGGGAAGAATGAAGGGGGGGAAATCGGAGGGGGAGACGAACCATGAGAGACGATGGACTCTGAAAAACAAACTGAGGGTTCTAGAGGGGAGGGGGTGGGAGGATGGGTTAGCCTGGTGATGGGTATTAAAGAGGGCACGTTCTGCATGGAGCACTGGGTGTTATGCACAAACAATGAATCATGGAACACTACATCACAAACTAATGATGTAATGTATGGTGATTAACATAACAATAAAAAATTTTTTAAAAATTACTCCCCTCCACATAAAGACAAGTTTTTAAAGCATACTAAGTAACCCAAAGCCTGTGATGTCAATCCCAGCAAAAATAGTTTAGGAGAAGCTCAACATTTTAATAGAAGAAATTCACTCTTTATGCAAGGAAATTCATGGTGCTCTCTCATTCCCATCAGAAAGGCCCTAGAATCTTGTTTCAGGAAGTCATGGATTACATCATCCACCAGAAAAATATATACTGATCTGTACAGGTCCCCCAATTCCCGGATACCCAAGGCAGTGACAGAGATAAAGGAGAAAGAGCTCATTTCAAACTTTTTTTTAATCCTTGGGGTTTAGATGTATATGACCCATTCAATACCCAATATAACCCATTCAATACTCAATACTCTGAAGAGAAAACCAGCCCTAGGGAAAGGGCTTTTTGCCCCCTGCACTTCTCACATATCCCTCCATAGCTCAACATTTTGGGTGTTCTTAATAAATGATCATTTGAACTTGATTTCACTTACATAAAAATACCTGGTATAGCAGTTAGCCATTGTTAGGTAACAAACTATCTTCCAAATTTAGTAGGGTTTGAGAAAGAGGAAAGAAGTATACAAGTGCTTCTTCCAAGCCTCTACTTGTATCATTGGTGTTGTCCCATTGTCTATAGTCATGTCACCAAGCCCAGAGTCCAAGTAGGAGGGCTCTACCAAAGGGCATCCATATAGGGAGATGCAAAAAATTGGGTCCATCTATGCAATCAGTCTTCCATGCCTGGAGATGAACAACACAGGGTGGTATACTTAAAAAGTCCCCCAAATGAGTCCAGCCCCAAAATTTTCACTCCAATCACTTACCCCTACTGTATGGGGTAAGTTGCCAAGTCGGCCACCAAGTGAGAACTAGGACCAACCTTGGCTTGTTTAGGTGCACATTAGCTCAGGATAGAGGAGGGATAATTTCCTGCCACACCAAGGCTAGTAAATGGAGTCCAACATGAGTTGAGATGGATAAGAGAGGAAATGGTGTCATAGCCTCCGCTTGAGAAACTTGATTGGTTTCTGAAGCCCTGGACCAGAAGGAAATTAAAGTTCATGACATTATACAGAACTCAAGGCAATCCACCTTGCTCTCTTCCCAGCATGACCACTCCAGCTATTCTCCCTTGGGTTGTCTTTCCTCCCCATTGGGCTCACTCTTTCCTGGACCAAGCACTTGGAATCTCTTCTTAAGTGCTTGGAGGAAGGGTCTTGCCCCTGGACTCCCCCAGCCACATTAGGGCTGTATGACTCTACCACCTGCTGTAGCTAATGGGCTCAAGGCTGGACACGTGGACCAAGCTGAGGCACCAAGTCTCTCTCCCAGAAGCCTGGAACTAAGATCTAGCCTACTTAGCAAGGATCCTCTCAGGAAATCTCTTTTT